CACCGGTGGCCATCCCCGTCGCCGGTGGGCACCGCTAGTCGCCGGCCATGCACTTGAAGCGGTTCTTGAAGAAGAAGAGGCGCTGCTTGAGGCGCAGGCTGTCGTCGCGCGCCGCCGGGTACCGGTACCGGTTGTACTGGCGCTCGCCCTCCGAGCGCCGCCACGGCAGCGCCAGCTTGGACGCGTGGTCCACCACCACGTCCTCGCACGAGCCCACGTGCAGCACGCCCAGCCCGTCGATGAAGAACTCTGGGGGGGCAGAGGGACACCCCCAAAGGGGCTCAGAGCCGCCCCGGGGTCCCCCGCGCTGACTCTGATCTCGTGGGCCCACGGGGGGAGACCCCGGGGTCCCCCCTGATCTCTGACCCCAGTGTGGGGGACCCTGGGGTCCCCCCTGATCTCTGACCCCTTGAATTGGGGGGACCCCAGTGTTCCCCCTTATCTCTGACCCCCTGAACCGGGGGGACCCCGGTGTCCCCCCCGATCTCTGACCCCTTGAATTGGGGGGACCCCAGTGTCCCCCCTTATCTCTGACCCCAGTGTGGGGGACCCCAGCACCCCCTTATCTCTGACCCCCTGAACTGCGGGGATCCCAGCACCCCCCTTATCTCTGACCCCAGTGTGGGGGACCCCAGTGTTCCCCCTTATCTCTGACCCCCTGAACTGGGGGGACCCCAGTGTCCCCCCTTATCTCTGACCCCAGTGTGGGGGACCCCAGTGTTCCCCTTATCTCTGACCCCCTGAACTGCGGGGATCCCAGCACCCCCCTTATCTCTGACCCCAGTGTGGGGGACCCCAGCACCCCCCTTATCTCTGACCCCCTGAATTGGGGGGAATCTGGCGCCCTGGGGACCCCCAGACCACCCTCCCCCCTCAGCCCCGGCTCCCCTCATCCCTCAGATCCCTCAGGAATCTGGGAACCCCCGGGACCCTCCTGCTCAGGGACCCCCTTAGGCTGACCCCCCAGACCTCGGGCACCCCCAGGACCCTCCTGTGGGACCCCCCAGACCCCCAGGACCCTCCGTGGGCTCCCCAGCCCCTCAGAACCCTCCCGTGGGACCCCCAGGACCTCCCAGCCCCCCCAGGACCCTCCCGTGGGACCCTCAGGACCCCCCGTGGGTTCCCCAGGACCCCCTGTGGTACCCCCAGGACCCCCCCGTGGGC